TTTAGTGAAGACGCCTATGAAGCATTTGCTGAAGGGAAACCGGATGTTCTCTGTCGCTCAAATACAACATGCTGATGATGCCGAAATGTCAGGAGTTTCAATAAAATCAACTGTTGAAATGATGAGTAGAGAAGTTGGAGGGAAAGAAATTCTGGGGTTTTTGGAGAAAGACTATCGTAATTACATTTATCGAAAGCGAATGGAAAAAATGGTAAAAGGAGATGCTGGAGCAGTTTTGGAATACTTTCAAAAGAAGAAAGAGGATAATTCATCTTTTTTTTTATTCAATGCAACTTGATGAAGACGATATGATCATGAATATCTTCTCGGCAGATGATCGGTCTATAAGTGATTATAATCTTTTCGGAGATGTCGTCTGTTTTGACACAACTTACAAGACCAATGAATATGATAGACCATTTGCTCCATTTATCGGGGTCAATCATCATAAGCAAACTATAGTGTTTGGTGCTGCTCTCTTATATGATGAAACCACTGAGTCATATAAGTGGCTTTTCGAGACTTTTCTTGGAGCAATGTCTGGAAAACAACCAAAAACTATTCTTACTGACCAATCTGCATCAATGGCGAATACAATAGTGAAGATTTTTCCTGAAACAAAACATAGGTTATGTGTTTGGCATATTTACCAAAATGCTGCAAAAAAGTTGAGTCATGTATTTCATGGGCCAGGACAGTTTGCCACAGACTTTGGAAGCTGTGTATATGACCATGAGGAAGAAGAAGACTGGTTATTGGCATGGAGTAATATGCTCAATAAGCATAATTTGACAGAGAATAAATGGTTAAAGAATATGTTTGAGGTGAGATAAAAATGGGCAATGGTATATGGACGTCATACTTTTACAGCAGATATGGTGAGCACACAACGTACTGAAAGTATGAATAATATTTTGAAAAGATACTTGAAGAGTAGTTATGACTTGTTGTCCTTCTTTGAACACTATGAGAGAGTGTTGGATGATCGGCGATACAACGAGTTAAATGCTGACTTCAAAATGATGCATACCTCTTCGGTATTATCTGCTACTGTAGAGATGTTGCAACATGCAGAGGAGGTGTATACACCCGAAGTTTTTAAGTTGTTTCAGAAGCAATATACAGTTATCGGTGATTATGTTGCTAAAAAATCAGTAAGTCTGAGATCGTGTATGAATACAAAGCATCTTATCGTGGTGGACCGCGAGAGCATTTGGTTAATTACGATGCTACAAACCAAACGATACAGTGTAGTTGCATGAAGTACTATTTTGCTGGGATCTTACGTCGTCATGCATTGAAAGTATTGGATAAGAAGGATGTTAGGAGAATTCCATCTAGCTACATCTTGAATGGATGGAGTAAAGAAGCAAAATCACGAAACATATCTTCTTATCGTTCAGAGACATTTAATGGAACAGTAACGCAATCGATTGGAAAGCGTTATAGCCATTTATGTCACAATTTCCGTGAGATTGCATCTGTTGCTGCTGAACATGTAGAATTGACGATGTGTGCGAATGAAGCTGCATGTGAGTTGCTTAAAAAATTGGAGGAAAAGAAAACAGAACTTGTGAAAGCTAATGCATGGATGCTCCCAACTTCAAATGTTGAACATGTGGAAAGAGAGGAAGAAGAAGAGGAAGTTCTAAATGCACGTGGAATTAAAAGAAAAGCTACTGTTGGACGACCAAAGAACAAAAAAGTTGGACTCCACGGTCGATATTTGAAAAGGGGGTGAATGAATTGGGTTCATCCCTAGGGGTGAACCTAAGAATTGTTCTAAGCCAGGTAAGTGTTTCAATCAATTTATTTGATTTCTAACCATTTGTTCGTGCATGTTTCTTCTTATTTTTGGTTTAGGAGAGTTTTTTTTTTTTTATTTTACAAACAAATATTGTATTTTGATTGTTTTTTTGTTTCCTTTTTTTTTTCTTTTTTGATTTGTAAGAGGTTGATGTGGCCGTGGAGTGCTTTTAAAACCACCACAAAAACCTTATGTATTTTCCACGCTTGATGAAATAAAAATATACAATTTTCTTAAGGGAAAAATCGCCTCCCTCTTGTTCTTGTCGAGCCGCGCCGTCTCCTAAAGCAAGAGAAATCGTTGTTTTATCACGGAGATTCACCCCAGCCGTGTGGTACGACTTCACTCCACTATCATTCCATTGATCTCTTAATCTGTTGAAAGAGCTTTCAGCCATCGATGTATCAAACCTTCACTCCATCAAATGCATTGGTTGGTAGAGAGAGCTTTCAGCTTTCTACGAAATGTTCTTGGCCGATCTCGAAGCTTCACCCATTGAGGCTTATATCATAAAGTATCTTATCATGGTGGACCGCGAGAGCATTTGGTTGATTATGATGCTACAAACCAAACATATAATGTAGTTGCATGAAGTATTCTTTTGATGGGATCTTATGTCCTCATGCATTGAAAGTATTGGATAAGAAGGATGTTAGAAGAATTACATCTAGCTACATCTTCACTCGATGGAGTAAAGAGGCAAAATCACGAAACATATCTTCTTATTTTTCAGAAACATCTAATGGAACAGTAATGCAATTGATTGGAAAGCGTTATAGCCATTTATGGTGCAATTTCTATGAGATTGCATCTGCTGCTGAACATGTAGAATTGACGATGTTTGAGAATAAAGTTGCATGTTAGTTGCTTATAAAATTGAAAGAAAAGAAAAAAACTTGTGAAAGCTAATGCATGGATGCTCCCAACTTCATATGTTGAACATGTAGAAAGTGAATAAGAAGACGAGGAAGTTCTAAATGCACGTGGAATGAAAAAAAAAAAGCTACTGTTGGACGACCAAAAGAATAAAACCGTTGGACCCCATGGTCGATATTTGAATGTTCTTGAAACGAAAAAACGTGGTACATCAAAGTGAAAATTATCGTTTTAGGTATTTGATAAATAATTCATTTTTTTCGTTTATATCCAATTTCCACCAAAATGTGACTTCGTCAATATATGTATGTATCTTAATTACAAGATCAAATCGATAAATTCTTTAGGATTCAACTTTTACTCCGGACATCCAGTTATCTGTTGCTACCACCAATTCAACTTTACCGACAGAGCCATTTTCCTCACAAGTGCTACATGTAAATAATTCATTTTTATTATTTATATTTGAGTTTTCTATCAAATGTTTCATGATTTGAAATCTTATATTTTGTAGGAATTCGACAAGAGTTATGGTGATTTATTGTAAACTTTTATTATTTTGAATATAGAGGCGGAAAACATATGAAAGTGCTGAAACTCTACTATTATTTATTTTAGTTTAAAGTTTTACCTTTTTTGTTATTTTTCCACTAAAAAGGAAGAAAGACAATATCTACAAAAAAAAAGATGAAGAAAACTAAAGCGAGAGACGTGAATGAGACAATAGTAGTCCCTACAATTAATTCTTTTTGTTTGAACACGAAACTTTCAATAAATTCTTTTTGATTTGTCGATTTCTAATCTATCGACAAATCAAAAAAAAAAAGAATATATATTTGGCGATTCAAGAGACGACTTATCATTATTTATTGTATTATAATATAAAAATGTTCAATTTAAGTTTTTAAATTACTCGCTAACTTTATTATTAGTTATTATTAGAATGTAATTTATTAGAATAAAATTAACAAAATTAGAAATTAAATTATACACTTTCGAATGAAATTTTGACTATTAGAAAGTAAAGAACGTAAAAGCCCCTTATCGGATTTGAACCGATGACTTACGCCTTACCATGGCGTTACTCTACCACTGAGTTAAAAGGGCTGTCTTGGTTTAATTCATGACTGAGTCGGTAGGTAAATAAAATCTATCTACATATATATATTAAATATATATACAATAGACGCATAGTGGTTAGTAGCTCATTTCGGAACTAGAAATGAGAATTTGAATTTACTTCAAAATTACTTAGCGGGGTATTTTTTGCCTTTTTAATATTGGATTTGATAAATATCCATGCAATGAATTTTTTTTTGAAATTGACTACCTCATCGAAATCGAACAAAATTCATTTGATCTATACATGTACTCAGTAAGTTGACATACACCCAAGATATTTTATCTTGACATGTGATGAAGAGATACAGATTATCCTCTGAACAATCATTTTCTAAAAAAAAAAAAGCAAATTTTCGATAACTTAACTTATAAATCCACCTTTCTTCCATAATTAGCAGATGGATTCTGGCTGACTTTCTTGGATTAGTGTTAGACAGGGATACTACTAATTCTTAACTATGAGACGAGGCAATCTATGAAGAAAAATGTGGTACATCAAAGAGAAAATTATCGTTTCAGGTATTTGATAAATAATTCTTCTTTTTCGCTTTTGTCCAATTTCCACCAAAATGTGACTTCGTCAATATATGTATATATCTTAATTACAAGATCAAATCGATAAATTCTTTAGGATTCAACTTTTACTCCCAACATCCAGTTATCTGTTGCTACCACCAATTCAACTTTACCGATAGAGCCATTTTCCTCACAAGTGCTACATGTAAATAATTCATTCTTATTATTTATATTTGAGTTTTCTATCAAATGTTTCATGATTTGAAATCTTATATTTTGTAGGAATTTGACAAGAGTTATGGTGATTTATTGTAAAATTTTATTATTTTGAATATAGAGGCGGAAAACATATGGAAGTGTTGAAACTCTACTATCATTTATTTTAGTTAAAGTTTTACCTTTTTTGTTATTTTTCCACTAAAAAGGAAGAAAGACAATATTTACAAAAAAAAAAATGAAGGAAACTAAAGCGAGAGACGTGAATGACAATAGTAGTCCCTACAATTAATTCTTTTTGTTTGAACACGAAACTTTCAATAAAATTAGAACGGGAATAAATCACGAACAAACTGGAAACTCGAAGTTAAGGAGTCCAAGCTTGAAGCAAACAAGAACAACAAGGCAAGTAAACTAAAAGATAGGGTTTACATTCAAAAAACATAACCGGGATCTCCTATGAAGGAGCTAGTTCTTTAGCCAACAAAGGCAATTGAATAAAGATGATAGCTCGATGTTCCATCACAGCCGAGTGTTTAAAGATAATCTCCGTAAAGGAGCAGATTGGTGGGCATGTTCTCTCCAAAGCGGAGAATGATGTAGAAAGCGATCTCTCCAACAAGGAGGAATTTTGGAACATTGATCTCACATTAGTGGAGCATGTTAAAAGATTAAGCTGTTCAAGGCCTCGACAAGTTCGCAACATGAATAAAAAGCTGATCACAAAAGGCTTTAAAACAGCCGGGCTAGGAAAGACAACTTATACTGGGTTCGTACTGCCCATTAAAGAAAAGTCATAAACAAAGCTCCTATCCACAAAGCAAGTGAACAGATCGGAAGGTTGGATGCTTGCAAGTGAGAAGACGTTTATGGAGCTTGTGAATGAGAGCACAACAGCAGCTTTAACGGCAGCTAGCACCGGACCAGCGTGAAAAAGCAACGAGGGGTTGGGGATGCGGTAGGCCAAAATCGGAGGAGAATGCAGAGGGACCGGCCGGTCGAGCGACAACATCAAAATAGTTGTCGGATTGAGACGCAACAAAAGCTGCAAAAGCTGGAGGATTCACCACCACGAGAAACGGTGTGGTAACCAAACTAAAGGTCTCGAAAAACAGATCTAAGTCACCGACAAACCAAGAGATCTCACCAAGCACAGATCCTGCCAGAATCTTACACAGAGACGACGGAGAAGCAGCTACACCACAAGGCGAAGAGGATGCTTCAGTGAAGTAGGCCATAAAGGCAGTTTATGGAAAGGCTATGACGGAGATGGAGGCAGGGCCACAAGACTTGCAGAGGTTGCGGGTGACACGGTTGTAAGGTGGGGAGAGGCGGAGATGGTGAAAGGATCTCCGGTGAAGCACCGGGAAGTGATCTGCCTTAGAGAAGAGCAAAGAGATGCCAGAGATGAATCAGGTGAGCCTATAACGCAAGATCTTGGCGAAGTTTTGACCAACAAGGGTCGAAATGAACTGAAGACAAAGTGAAACAACAAAGATAAGGGAGACAGAACAATAGAGAAAGGCTATTGATTTGATCTTGTATTAGATTAAATCATTAAAAACGCAAAATTTGGTTATTAAAAACATCTATTTATATGTTGCTTTCCTACAATTAATTTATTTTGTGCTTTAAATGATTTAATCTAATTGTTTTATTTAGATACTAATAACTATTTTAATTTTTAATAAGATTACATGGTAAATTCTAATTAAATAATTAAAGGGAGATTTTGAAAACTACCATATTTATGAGTTTTTGTTTGAAAAATACACCTTCATCTATTTTTAATGAAAACTACAATTTTTAATATAGAAAATGACAATTTTGTCCAGATTTAAAATAAAGCTGTATTTTTAGTAAATCAAAATTAAATTCAAAATTTAGAAGGAAAAAAAAAAAGAATAAACTAATTTTGAAATTTTAATTATTTTTTAAGATAAAGACAATTTATTTATTTTATATAGAAAATTTAACAATATAATATCTAAAAAGATAGTCTTTTAGTTTTCTTGTTTTGTATTTGGTTTGAGTTTTGTTTTATTTTCTTTCTTTTGGATTTGGTTTGAGCTTTAATTTCTTTTATATTGGATTTTTTCTTTACATTAATCTTCTATTTAGGAACTTTGTTTACTTTACATTACGATACGTTGCGATATATGTTACGTTACGATACATGTTACTCTATGATACTTTCTTATGTTCTTTGTTAGAGGTAGTCATGAGAGTTCTTTGTTAAACGTAGAAGAGAAACGTTGTTTTTTGTGTCTTTGTAACAAGTGAATGCTTCTCCAATGCTACAGACAACGATAGTTTCAATGGTTTAAACAAACCAGTGACTTGAATTGCAAAATAAGGTAATTAAACCGGATAAGTGAACCAGATTAATTAAACCGGCTAAATACTTGAGATTCCTGTAACATCGTCCAACTTTCTCTGGCCTTCCCCACCATTTGTTTGACATAGTTGTTAACCCGTCTGATGATGGGAATCCAAATTTTAACTCATCTAAAGCTGCTACTGTCTTTGCCAAATTAGTGTTAGCCCATACATTGGACTTGTCACTCTTATTTTCACCATGTTGCACTGTTGAATGCATCATCGTTCTTGCAAGGGATCTTCTCAATATCAAACACACAACACGTGCAAGTCATCCGTTGTAGATTAACCACAAAATTTTGTAATTCTTTTTCAATAATGGATTTTCTGTTTTAAGTATCAGTTCTTTTTAAATAATAAATTTTGAGTGAGGTTATTTTAGTAATTTTATATAATAGAAAAAGGTTTTTAAAAGAGAAAAAAGATAGTGTATTTTTTAAAGGAAAACTCAGAAAGAGAGTATTTTCGAAATTTACTCTTAATTAAGAGGGGTGAATAAGAGAGGTTTATACCTCTAGTCGAACCCAAGAATTATTCTATTTAGAATACGTCAAATCCACTTGTGAAGTTCTTTTTTCTTCTTCTTGTGTGAATTTTGATACATCAAACTGAGTATGCCCATCTCGTTTGTCTTTTGCTATCATATTGTGTACTATGATACATGCACTCATAATATTTCCTATTTTTACCTTATCCCAAATAAGAGACGATTTTTTATAATATCAAATCAAGCTTGCAAGACTCCAAAAGCATGCCCGACATCTTTACGGGCATCTTCTTGATATGTAGTAAGTAAGGATGTTTTCTGACCTTGTGGAATCGGAATATATTCGATAAAAGTTGACCATTTAGGATAAATATCATTTGTGAGATAGTAAGCCAAATGTTACACGAGATAGTAATATATCATCAAAAAAAAGTTGAGCGATCAAGAATATTGATATCGTTTAAGGTGCCTGGTGGTCTAAAAAACACATACCATATCCAGAGATCTTGTAAAGCTACAGTCTCAAAAACGATTGTTGATTTTCCAGATCCACGTGTATATTTCCCTTTCAAAGCAGAGGGGCAATTTTTTCACTCATAATGCACACAATCGATGCTTCCTATCATCCCAGGAAATCCCCGTATTTGTCCAAAATTGAATAGTCGTTGAAGATCTTCTATTGTGGGTCTTCTTAGGTATTCATCTCCGAAGAAATATATGATTCATTCAACAAAATATTTCAAGCATGAAATCGCAGTGCTTTCACCTACCAGGAGGTATTCATCAACCGCACTAGCCACAAAACCATATGCCATCATAAGAAGATGACATTTTTTTGTGGTTGTATTGGTCAAATTGCTTTTAATTTTGGCATTTGATGCCTTACCATCAAGAGGCCGAGCCATTGCTTCATCCTCTGACTTCTCCCACCTTTGTTTATAGTGATCTGTCTCTCTCTTTGGAAGACTAGCAAGCTTCGGATTTGAGGGAAAACAAGCTGATATGTGTATCCAAAAGGTTTCAGCTTTTTTCTCATTCCCAACTATTGGATCATTGTTGGTGTTTAGCCACGCATTGATGACCACAACATCTTCTTTGGGTGACAATTTCCTTTTTGATCTACGAACTTCAGATATGTATTCAACTTGACTTGGAGCATAAGAACATTGGGTACTAAACACAAGGACTCTGTTTCACCAAGTATTGTACTTGGTGAAACACTCTCATAAGGATTGGGTTCAAGGATGTGAGTTTTTGGTTGACTATTTAAGAGGTCCATGAAGCCTGAAAAGTGACTAGATAGATTCATAGATTGCATATCCTAGTTTTTGTAGGTATTGAAAAGAGAAGAAAAGAGAATACTGAAGTGTTGTGGGGTGTGTTAAGCAACAGAGGAAGCCTTTAATATAAAAGGTTAGGTTTAAGTGTGCCATATCAAGTTCTGGCTTGTGTTGTTAGCAATCAATGTCAAAATCATGTCTTTATCTAATATAAAACTACCAAGCATTAAACACTAAGGAGTCAATAAATATGATGTAGACAGTTGTAATCCACATCTAACAAGCATTTATCACAAAAACAGAAAGTAAGCAATCAATACAATACTCAAGTCTTGCCTAATCTATATATAAAAAAATCAATACAATATAGGACGATGAATTACCTTGCTTCATTTGTCAAAATGAATCGGATTCCATCTCATTTAGCAACTGTCTAAGTTCCTCCAATAATATATTTAGATGAGTCGCATCCACAATAATAACTTTCCTCTTGACTTTAAACCCTTCAATGCAAGGTTCCAAAGCAACAAATAGGTACTTGAACATTTTTTCATCATCTAATACTACACTAGTTTTTGTACCAAAATTAACTTTCTCTAACATATGAAAATAAGAATAAACTATCTTGACACACTCAACTGGACTGCCATGGATATCACTAATAGCTAGTTTTTTTTTCCTCTATAAGTAGTCAAGTATAACACTTCCACACTAAGTTTTTCTTGAACAAGAGCAATGATGAGGTGGGGTCTTGAATTAACCTGGATAATTTTCATGCACCACAGATGCAACTAAACGTGGTGTACCTTTCCTTTGATGCATGTAGTAGAAGTCGACCGAGAGTATGTATGCAACTTGAAATATGTTCAAACCAAAACACGAGTTGAATCCTTAACCATTGTAGCTCGTAAATACTATTTACACCATACTTCATTACACTTTACCCATACCGCTTTGTATCCCAGTTGAGTGTAAATAGTCCAAAACAATTAAGATTTGATACTTTCTCAACTAAATATTGTACTTCATGCTTGCTTTCAAATTTTTAACCTATTACTATATCATCCCACGGAACTTTCAACTTAGGTTCTTGGCTAACACGTTGCTTCTCAACATATTCATGAATACCATCATTCTCCATACTCATATCCACATTGCTATCAACACCATTATTAACATCTCTGATAATATTTTTTAGTGGCTCCAAAGGCTCAAGAAGTTGTTCTACGTAAAGAGTATGACACCAATAATAGCTCAATCATTATCTCTACCACTTGAAATTAGCTCACCATAATTCACACCAACTGAACTTCTTTTTTCTACTCTCGAATGTTGCTCCTTTAACTTAATCATTTCCAAATCATTGCTGACTTCTACATGCAAGAGACTTCTACTTTGCTCTTTATCCAACGTGGTTAAATAAACATATACATCAACATCCGATAAAATATATATGACTGTGTATAAGGTTGAACTCCCGATGGAATGTAACTTTATTTTAGATTTCTTGTAGATTCATCTATCATAGTCTTCATGCATATCTTATCTACTAACCCCAAATAAGTTGTCTCCTCCACTGATGACGTCCTAAACGATATACTGTACAACCTAGCCTAGATTCCCTTTGATTCCATTGACACGTATCTTCGGTTTTTGAATGATGTATCATCAAAATGTTTATTTATTGTAAGATTGCTCATTCTTCTGAAAAAAAAAAAATTACATTAGTACATAATGAACTGTAGTAGTTATACATTTTTTTTTAGTTGTACCAGTTATATCACTTCTAACAGTTATAACAGTTGTACCACTTGTCACAATTATACATCTTCTGACAGTTATACACAGTTTTCCATATTGATTTTCGGACCAAAAAGACTTTTCTACATAATGTACTTCTATAGTCCATTACATTGTCATAATCGACCCAGAAAACATGTTTACCAACCTAATGTCCATTAATTTCTAACACTAATTTCAAACCTATTCAAAATTTCTATTTTCCAATTACAACAACTGTGAGACCCAATTCAGCCCACCAAGGACCCATCTCAACTAAAAAAGACCAAAACGTGTGTATGTATATACACTATTGACGGTCATGTTTATTTTAAGGCTTTTTTTTTTTGTTTTCAGACATGGATTATTGCAGGAAAGCTCAAAATCTATGTTATCATTTCGAAAGTAATATGTTGAGAAGAATTATTTCATATATATATATATATATATATATATTATATGCATGACCATATGTCTTTGACATTTTCGATTGATTAAGTTTGTATATATTTCAGATATGATAAACCTTGATTTAGTAATAATAAGCGTTAAAGTTAGGTATTATACCATTAATCTAAATTCATATTGAATCATACATAAAACAACAGTATGACGCAAAAAATAACTTTTTATGCATCATACA